TAACCGCAACGGGAACGTGCTGATTGCCTGATTGCTAGTGTCATAGTTATGTTGATTGCTTATTAATTATTAACATCGCGCGTGTTTCGACACAAATATAATTCCTTTATTAATAAGCATTTGTAGTTGATATTTAACTATACTTGTATTGACTCACAAAGCATTAATAATAATTGAATCATTAAGATCCCTTTCATATGATATTGGGCGATTACAGTACTATCTGTTTAACTGCTAAAGAAACAAGTAAGATTAATATTTATAAATAACTTATTTGTGTAGTTTTTTGTGTTATTTTTTTATCTGTGTACAGGAGCTTCTAATTTAATGATAATTGATTTTTAGGTGAGGCGAAAAACAATAAAAACTACTTGAAATCAGGGAACGGTCTTATAGATTGGATACGTTTGGGTAATTCGGGAGTTGATCTGACCGGGGTCGGCGGCCGGGTACGGATGATACATCCTTACGAACTAAACCAACATAATACTAAAAGTAAGCGTTGTTTAGAATAGTTCTTTTTTTCTTTAAATTTTAAATGATGATTTTGAATAAATGTTTTTTGTACAGATGACGCGTGGCTGGCGATTCGAGGCCGTGTTTATAATATCACGCACTATCTTCCTTTCCACCCTGGAGGTAAGTTACCAAATACAAGTAATACATACAGGATGTTTTGCAAATATACACCGTAAATCCTATTTTATTCGCAGGAGCAGAGGAACTAATGCGCGGAGCTGGCAGAGATGCAACGGAGTTATTTGACAAAATTCATCCGTGGATCAATTACGACTCTCTTCTAGTCAAATGTTTAGTTGGAACACTCCGTGTCGAAACTCAAGACATATTTTTCGACGCGAACGATTCTTTTCCTGAATCCGATTTACTCCTACCATCGTCAATTACACAAGACAGAATCGTTATTAGAAATAAATTGACAAATTACACAACTCCGCCAAGAAAGAAGAGACTTTTACCCGAAGATGATTTTCTAGACGCGTTAAATACAAGTTTGGAACTTGAAGAATTATCTTTACCTGGGTACCTTGGAACTTTGAAAATATTTAAAAAGGAAATACCTCCAGAAGACGTTCCGCCCGCTCTATTCTATGATTGGGAACAAACTCCTAAACAATTAACCATCGCAGTGTATACAGGACCTTTGAGCAATCCGGGCGCGTATTCGCGTATTGCTGAAGGCAATTTGATCATCGAAGTTACGATCAATGGTTGGTTGCAGACTATTAAGGTATTGTTAGAAGAATCTGTACAAGATTTACAAACGAAAGTGTGTTACCATACCGGAAAAATAGAGGTATGTTTTTATAAAATGTTGTATATAATATCTACTATATTTTATTAGAATAAATGTATTAACATTTGTCATATTTTTAGATAACAGCTCAAAAGGCTGAGAGTAAAATATGGAAAAGTTGCGGTGAAATAACAGTAGGGTCACCGAATAAAATAACGTCACATAAAATACTCGACTACAAAGTTATTTGTAAAAAAACATTGACTCACGATAGCTGGATGTTAGCGATGTCTCCACGCACTGGATCCATTGTTCTACCACTCGGACATCACGTAAGGGTGCATCAAACTATAGCTGGTGAGTTACAAATAATTAATACAATTACACAAACACTAAATATCCCAAAAGAACCTTTTACATGGAACTTTAAAAACACGTTATTGTAGAAATGTTCCTTTGATGCAACTGACAGATTATATTAAAAAGTTACATAACTACCCATTTTATTCCCTTTAGTAAAATTTATTATGAAGGTATATGAAAGTATTTTTCAAGTTATTAGGAGTAATTTACAACAAATATACAAACTCTTTTGATCTATGTGATTGATGATACAGATTCCTGCGGGAGGCTGAGTACATTCCTCGAGGGATGAGAACACGTAACTTGTAGACAGTGATGGATCAACTTTGTGATTAATCTCACCTGCTATCACTTTATTATTCTGACTAAAAAATACTAGTTAGGTGTTCGTCCCTGGAATTATTTGGAAGGGGTTTATTATAAATTAATGATATTTTCCGAATAATATAGCTACAGTACTTTGCCAATGAAATTATTGAAAACATTAACTGTTAAATATATGGTTACCGTATTTCACTGTGGTACATTTTGTTGTCTGTTTTTTCAAAAGAGAATAACAGAGATGACACGCTTTTACCCAAGTGCTACGACGGTAGAATACAAGTTGCTTAACGTAGAAAATGTGTAATAACTTCTCTTATTTGCCAGGTTCCGAGTACGTAAGATCTTATACTCCGGTTAATAAATACTGGGATGAGGAAAGCACAAACAGTGACATACGTCTCGCAGTAAAACGATATGACAACGGCATCCTCTCACCAATGCTCACCTCATTGAATCCCGGGGAACTGGTGAAAGCTGCAGGACCGTATGGCACATTTCAACTGCATAGAGTAAGATCATTTTATTTAGTAGAGTATACTCATCAAATTAATTTTAGTGACTACCATAATAAGCAAGAAAACTTTTTGAACAAAGGGCAGAAGAAAAATTTGAATTTTAGACGAATCATCCATTCGTACAAGAAATGGAGGCTCACTATTAAACGATTATTGTATTACTATTTCTAAACTGTTTTTACAGTTGAAATCAACTAGAACAATGTATCTTCTGGCTGCTGGTACCGGTATTACGCCAATGCTCGGTCTTATTACATTTATGTTAACAAGATCTAATCCCAATTGGTATGTAGCGTTATTGTCTAAAATAAGTCATCAGTTTTCGATAGTAATAATTCACGTGTATATTAATTTTGTTTTCAGTGATTATGTCCATCTCTTGTACTTCAATAAGACAGAAAAAGATATTATGTTTCATGATAAAATGACCGCGTTGGGAAATGAAGATAAAAGGTAAAATTCAACCTGCACTTACCGTCTGTTTCTGAAAAACCCATCTGTATTAAAACATATTCTCTCATTCTCTTTAATAAAAAAATATTACTATATTTCGCTAGTCGAAATTTAGAATTTGCCATTTTGTAACCTACACATAACCTCAATTTTACAATTTTTTTTAATTGTTTTTTTTTTTCTTTTTTGGGCAAAGAAAACATTATTCACATGATTTTGTGGGCTCTGTCTCCAGAACTAGTTGAAACTGTGTTTCAGGAGACAGCGCTTTCTCTTGTCTATTGCCTAAAGTTATTAATATTTATAATAGTATATCTATTGCTTAAAGTTATATATTTAATTATTACTGTATTTTTTCTTAGATTCAACGTAATTCACATACTTTCGAATTCGGGTGACACATGGAAAGGTCGTAAGGGACGTATCAGCGCTAAGCTTCTGCCAGAAATATTTGGCGAACATAAAATTGATTACGACGATGACACGAGTTTTACTTGTATCTGTGGACCGAAGGAATTTACCTTCATCTCTCTAAACATCCTCAAAGGTCTTGGAGTGGAAGAGAGCTTCATACACGTGTTTATAGGTTAACAGATCAGAGGCAGAGAGATTTTTTTACGACTATTCTAGGTAGTCAAACCTAAACGACTTATGAAAACAATGAGTTCAAATCTCACCCACACAAACTTTTTTCATTGCTTAATCTTTTTTTTGGTTTACAAGTATATCCTAAAATACGACAGTGTTAACAAATATTATAGTTTATTTAGTTTAAATTAAAGAAAATCTTTGTTTTAAGTCGCAGACAATAGATGGCGCTATTTCATCTATCAGTGGCTCAATCAGATTGTTTTAAGTTTTTTTTATTAAATTTATGTTATTTATTTACCATTTATGTAATATGCTTTTTAGTAATAATAACATTTTTATTCGCCTTATTTTTCATTAGTATAAAATAAAACAAGAAATATAAAGGAACATAATTATAATACAACAAAATCTTTTTTTTTATTAAAAACATTCCCATCCGACGTAAATGCTTGTACAGTCAACGTCCAAACAGCACCTTTGGTGTTCACTACGCGTACATTATATCTAAAGGAAAAACAAGCTTCGTAAAACTAATCGACTTATGCGACAGCGAACATAAAATACAGCAACACGACCACAATAACATGAGACTTGAGGATGATGACGTCACGGCAACTTGCTCGTCGTGTCATGTGGTGCTTGCTTTTTATGCAACATCTTGCTTGGAGTGAATTTTATTTAACATGTTACAATTTACAATTTTATAGAATTTATTTTCCAGAATAATGTTGATATTTATTTCTTAACTTTTTTTAGCATTTACTTTGTAAACATCTAGAATATTCTTCACTCTAAGCAAGTCTAACTTATCCAATACCGACCATAACTTAAGTTCTGCATAACAAAGATATAGAAATTACTTAAAACACAGCTTCCACAGCGAGATGAAGTTAAATCATATATCACAAAAAAAAATAACGAAATAAAATGAAAGTTCACTACATTCACTTTTACATCCATACATACATTTTATTTATATACATACTGTATATTTACAGTATTAAACGCGTTTTTTAAAACTAGTTTTACTAAAGGAAATTTATTAAATAATATGTCATAAATTAACAACCTTACTGCAGGTTTCTGACACCAAAAACTCTGTATAAAACATATCGTCATCACTGTCATTATCTTTGACAAAACAGAGATAATAATATGTTTTAAATGGAGATTTTGGTCAGAAACCGAGTATAGAACGAGCAAACTGTGAGGGCGCCACTGTCGATAATACGATTACCGGATATAACAATCGCGTTAATTTCACAATAATTTCAATATTAATTCCAATTTTCACAACTTTACAGACAATTTATTTAGTATATTTAATATATTGATTAAGTACAACATATCATAGAGTTTGTATTACTTTTTAACCCAGAGACTTAGATTGAACCTTAGAAGGATGGTCAAAGAAAAAAAAAGTGTGTATTAACCGAAATATTACATTAAATATAAAACTATTTAAAACTAGCATAATTTTAAATTCCTTAACAGCTATAGTCACTTTTTAAAGTTCTTTTAAAAAGATTTTTTTTCACATGTGTTTATTGCACTACACTTTTATTATTTTGTCATACTCAGATTTGTAAGGTAACTTAAGTAGTACCTTAGTGATTTTGCACTAAATCTACACTAAGGAACTGCTTTAGTGACAAATTAACAACTCTTGAGTGTAGCAATCTAGTCTAAATTATGTGTGCTTTTTAGGTTTTATTTTCCGCAGTCTGTGTCAATCAAGTCATTGGTGGTATCACGTTTTAATAGCGATGTTACGTTGCTATATTCTTGTCTTATTTGTGTCATTTTATTATGAAATTTTCTCATCGACTGATTTTCACCACAATATAAAAAAAATAAAAATCAGTAAATGATCAATTGGATAAGATTATTTTATTAAATGCTCGTTTAACTCTGACATCTTAAACGTGATACTTTCGAGTCTTACGATGAAAAAAGTCACATCTCTTATGTAGATGTAACTTTTTTCGACAAATGGCTCGATTTAAATATTTAATGTATAATTTATGCGTTTGTATCATTTACAAACAAAACATCTCGATCTTTGAGACCGACTTCTTGTAAGTTAGCGACTCCCCGCGCGACCACTCGCTTTGGGAAATTGGTCGTTATTTCAAATTCCTCAGGCGCTTGCGGGTGACTGAACACGAAATCGTATAAATCCTGGAATAAAACAATACGAATATTATTTAATTCCTACTATTTGCTGACACGCCGGCTATGTTTAATTATTTTTATGTACATTTTTAATATACATATATCTTGTACAAATCTTGCCACTTAAATTAGACCCACTTCATGTTGACCTTTAGTCCTGATGACATTATTTTTTTTACATACATTACTATTGTAAATTTAAAATAGCTTTCGCCACAAAATGGTGACAAAATGACATTTTGCACAACCAGCCTAATATGGGTATCAAATGAAAAAACTTCACTAGTGGATTGAATAAATGATGCCCTAAGGCAGGAATTATACAGTTAATTAAAACCAAAAACCACTAATAAATATTTAGCGACTCTTTAGACAGCTAAGATACTAATTGTCACACCCAAAGTTCAGTTACCTGCGTGGTGTGTGTGAGCGTGAACCTCCTGGTGAGTCGCTCGCCGCCGGGCAGTCGGATGAGCAGCGCCACCGTGCCCGCGCCCGGCGCAGGCTCCACGGGCAGACGCGACGCCATCGCCGCGCGCGCCTCCACCAACTGAACACAACAACGAGACAAACAGTTGCACCAAATGTTACAACATTTATAACTTTATGCCCATTTTACATTATTCATTCCCAGTGACCGAATCCATTCCGCGGAATTAAAACTGGATATTTGTGACACACTTGAGCTACCTAATTGGGTTATTCGTTTTACCTTCCATTAAAATTCAGCGCTGGATATTGTCTAATAAGTTAGTCGCCTTGGTATCTCCCGCTATATGTTTTTTAATTCTTTAATTTTTTTATGTACGGAATTTCTGGCAACTAACTAAAGTGCTAAGGTCAGCCCGTAGTATAGATTTCTCATACTAAATCTACACTACGAATCTTAATGTGTGAGGTGTGAGATAGTTGTGTACCTGTTGCTTGTGGCGCTCCTCCTGCTGACGACGCTGCAGGTCCTCATGCTCGCGCTGTGCGACAGCCTCGCGCGCCGCCGCCTTGCGCCGCTCCTTCTCCTGGTCAGCCGCCAGCGACTCCGCGTACGCCTCGTCCTGCGCCGCACGCAGCCGCGCCGTCACCTCGCGCTCCACTCTACAATGTTATACTGTATTGGTAATCTGCTAGTATAAATTGGTATATACTAACTCGCTCGAGTCCTGCTCAATATCTTTTAATACTTTTACAAAAAGAATTTTACAAAAAAGGTCTAATATTTTATTAGTATCCTGTAACAACCTACTTTTTTTAATTATTTACAAATTGGAAAACACTAAATTATCTTAATGTAAATTAGATTAATTTAAAATAGTTCCTAGTATACATATAAATAAAAGTAATATCTTTTACCTATCTGCTCTTGCTGCAGCTAAATGTGGTTCATTGTCCGTAACTACTCGTCTTAGTCGCTGCAGGAGCTGCAATGGTGAGCAGGCACCCTCGTTACGGGCTACCACAGTCATGCGATGCTCACGAAGGCACACCACACACAGCAGAGGGTACCTTCGACCTCCCACTGACTGCGCCACACGCCACCCCTCCGAGCTATCCACTGAACAGCCCCAGAACAGAGCATGTGTGTTGATATATTGTATCACTTCTGGATCTGCTAATGTGGTCCTGAAATTTTTAAAATTAAACATTTATTTGTTAATTTCTAAAATCAGTACACATATAGTCCTCTTAAGAAGACTACTAATTAAAGTTGACAGTTGAAAAATTTCATAGCCAACAAACTCACTTGAGTGTTCACTTTTGTAATAACTTGCCCTGGCCTCCGTTCGCGCGAAATTAAAAAAAAACATAATTAGTGGCCTATGTATTCTTTCAGACTATGTCCTATATGTATGCAAAATTTTCCAGATAAATTCAGCCATTCTGGAGATACATTCTAACAAACTTCCATCCATCCATCCATTAAAAAATTTGCATTTATAATATTAAGAAGTAAGATTGTAATAGCATGGACACAAGATGATGCATATACGCATGAATGCATACCTATCAATCAATCTAGTAAACATATTTAGACATTATTAGTTAGAATCCTTTGGCGAGTTCGTTACCAAGTCAAGTGTCAGAAAGATTAGTGAGGGGACATAACAGTCGACATTTTAGTAAGGCTAGTGTTGCGCCTGTACACTGGCCCAGTGTGGGATTTTCTTCCTAATAAAATATATCAGCTTAATAAATTTACTCACCTGCAAAAGTTTTGTGTTTCAGCAGCGGATTCCGAGTGTAGGTATACAATGAGGAATTTTAATTCATTCTTGGCATCATTGAGTGCCTGCGCATATGTGCCCTGGTAGAACACTGGATGTGCATTAAATCTTGATGTATAATTATTTATAAATCCCATAACATCACCTAATGGGTCTGTCACAACTGAAAAAGAATATGTAATAAATTACTAATACTGATAAAAAAAATAAACTAAATTTTATTATTCCTTTTTCCAAATGAAATAAATTTTATTATAATACCCTATACATTTCTTAGTCATAGTTTTTATTATTTTTATTTTTGTAATTGAATATGTTATCTATGCAAGAATGACTTGTCGAAAGTTGTAATGTCATGATCTGTCATCAATTGTTGCATAAATGGCCTGAATTCAATCCAAATATGAATACTGATTACCAAAAAATTTTCCATGTTTATAATGAGTTACCAGGATCAAAATCTCCATTTAAAACATATTATTATACCTGATTGGTGAAGATAATGAAAGGGATGATATTATGCTATACAGAACTATTGATCACAGAAACCAGTTACTAGATAATGAAAACTTTTTAAAATTTAAGTAATTGAGTGATACTTACGCCTTCTCTCGTCATGTCTGACAAAACTTAATAATAAATTCAGTACAGAGGAAATTGTGTTATAACACATTGAGACAACTAGGTTTACAACATAACGCAGTAGACCACGGACGCCACCAGGTCCCTCGGGCTGTTCATCTGTGAACACTTGCTGTGCTATATGATCGTGGACCACCGGAGGTGCCCTAGCTTCTGTGGCAAATACTGACGGCCTTCCTTCCCTTATATTAAGTTGTTCCTGAATAGCAACCTTTAAACAAAAAGAAAAAATATTTTTCAATGACTATATTTTGTAAACAACTTTCAAATGGAAAATTCATCTGTTTTTTTTGTTTAAAGTGAGTTGGTTGCAGTGCATATGTTAAAAATAAAATTATCTCAATAAAAATAAACCCAGTTGCATAGTTATAAAGTAATATGTTTCTGTAATTTAAAATATGCTGATAAATTAGTAATTTAAAATTGTATTTTTTTTAATAGTGTTTTTTGGAAATTATATTTAAGTACAAATTACTAATAAAATGATGAAGTATGAATAATAATCTTACCGATAGAAAAAGTTAAGTTTATGTTTAAGTTTATTATCGATAAAACATGAATAAAATGACATTTTCTAAAAATGATTCCTAGCTAGATCGATTTATCGCCCCCGAAACCCCCTATATACTAAATTTTATGAAAATCGTTGGAGCTGTTTCCTAGATTCCAATTATATATATGTATATACAAGAATTGCTCATTTAAAGATATAAGATAATGATATATAATTGTAGCATGTAATATTCTAAATACTTAAAAATATGAGAAAACTGTGGACAGTTCTACAAAATTTTTATTAACAAAATATAAGGATATTTAACACATTAGATATTATTATACTTATCTAATGCATTGCAGAGGTTACCTAATATGTTGTCATAGTAACAATGTAATTACAGAAGAAACACTTTAGAATTGCCTTTTACATAACTAAAGAACTAATTTGGTCTAACTATTTCTACTGCCAGACATGTGCAGTGAAAACAAATATTTTTTTTATCATCATTAACAATTTTTAAAATTTTACAAAATATTTTACTTTCTATGAAAAACAGAGATTACAATATGTTCCAACAACAGTATTACAATTTTATTCCAACTATTTCAGCATTAGAAATGCTGATATTGTATATTTTATACAATGGACAAAATTAATTAAGGAATGTAGTTAACTTTATATTGAAAACTTCTTGAATCTATTAACTGTAAAATGATAGGAATATGAATGATTTAATATTATCAAGTGGAACCTTTTGTAATTTATTACATGCAATACAATTACGTTGGAATTACGCTCCTGTCAACAGTATTCCAATGAACTAGGTTAGTAATGCTTCAAGATGTATATAACCATAATAAGACATTCATGTAAAATATCAATTCAACATAAGATATATTGTGATAACACTATTATTAAACTTGTTCTAGAATCTTAATTCATTACTTTATACCGTTATAGATTAAAAAAAACTATCTCATTGAAACTCAAAAGTGTTTGAAGTGAATTGACCTTATTTTTCTACATGCATAATTTGATAATAGGTGTTACTATTAGATTACCTCTAAATCCCATTGGTGCCTTTGCAAAACATCACGGCATATCGACATATCTTCTATACCTGTTAAATCTTGAAATTGTAATATTTTATCAGTTTGTTCGAGCGTCAAACCCATAGCATTGTCTTCCAGATCCATATTGGTATTAAAATAAAGATTGCCTTTTGCAGAATAGTTATTATACCAGTAAATTTACATAGATATACCCTATAATAATAAATAACACTCTATTTATTAATAAACTACGATAAAAATATTAAAATGCCACTCATTATGGTGCCTACGAAGACAGAACGAAGAAGACCAAAGAGTATATAAAATAAGAGACGGGACTCTTGACTAATTAGATACACAAACGGAGAATAAAAATTGACATTTTCAATGCTAGCAATATTATGAACAAGTCTACGTTGCTACCAACCTAAAAAAATCAATCTGTCAATTTCCGTTTTGACGTTTGAAAGTATTATTCGGGGGAAAACAATTTTGGAAAAATAAAACAATTTCGTTAATTGCAACTTTATTTAATCTTCTGACTAAAGCGAACATATTTTAAGAACGCAACATAATGCTCATTGCTTTCGTAATAATACCATTATTGTTTAGTTCACCAACAAAATACCCCCAACTTTGATAAATGCTTATTTGTTCCATATTTATTTGATGTGATTCCATCATATTTTCTGATAGAACTGGAGTAGTAGTGCCACTCTTGTCTTGAGAAATAGAATAACACTGGAAAGAGATTAGCTCCTCTCTGTTGGTAAAATATTTAGAAAATTGCTAACAAGACAATGTGCATTGAAGCAAAACAAATCGTCATCATCAAGCTCACTATACGGACACACTATACTCCACTGAGGAGCTCGGAGCCTACCCTCAAGAATGCGACTAGGTCTTATTCAACAATGCAGAGCCAGTGACGGTTGGTTGACTTCGCACATATCTTTGAATTTCTATGCAGTTATATGCAATTTGTAATTACAGTAAGAATGTCTGATGGATGTTATCATGAAATTCGAAGAACTCATTACTATATAGCGGAGATCGTACCTGGATATGTAAAATATGATCCGGTCAAGAGCCAACTGCACTGCCGATGCTCCAAATAGTCCCCTAATCCAAACTTTTCCTATCAAAACATTGCAAATGTACAAGTCATGTTAAATATTATGTACTGTAAAAATAGAATACAATATTTAAGTTTTACTTCTCAAATAAATTCATAAAATTATCATGAACCTAAAGATTCCGCATTTTAACTCTTTTGTTATTACTATTCTCCATAGATGTGTAACCTATAGATTCCTTAACGAGGAAAAATAATGAGCTTAGGAGGCATCATTTTGGGGAAAAGTACCTGTGTTGAAATTTAAATTACTTGTAAGAAAATTGTATACAATCTGTTTATTTTTTATTACTTAGTTCAAAAAAAGTTAAGATATATAATAAGTTGTGATATTTGTAAAATCCAAATTTAATAAATTAATTTTGTTTCATATTTTTCACTAAATGGTATTTTTTTTATCTTTTGTACTTGATACTTAATTCCCTATATTTTAGTATATTTTTATTTTCTATACACTGCATTTCCCAATTTCGAGAAAATCTTATTATGTTAGTGAATATTTTATATTAAAGTCTAATACATATTTCTAAAAATTGTCATAATATTAACATCAAACTAATATAAAACACTAAATTATAATATAAATAATGTATAGGTTACACATCTATATATCAATATTGACATTAATATAGTTATTATGCTTGTGCATTTCCTGCAACATGGTGACTCTTTTTTAGATTTGCGGTTAAACTACTTCATATAATAAGTTATTTTTCAAAATTTAGTTTAGAATTACAATATTTTAAACAGTCAAACTTTGTAGCACAGATGTTGCAGCGACATGCAGCCAGTAATTCTGAAGCAGATTCCTTCATTTAATTATTCTGTAGAACTTGAAGAGGTGCAATCATTCATCTGCAACAGTATGAAATGGTAATTAATTGATTCAAGTCTACAACATAATCAATTTAATTATTGCTTTTCACCTAATTACATACCTTATTAAAAAAAAACTGGTTTTCTTTGATTATATAGATTTCTCCCCATTTACTTACAAAACTTATTTGAAATTCAATTCTCTACAATGATGGAACTCACAAACCATGTAAAAATGATGATTAGTTTTTACAGGTACAGAATTTTTGGAACTTTTATTGCCTGCCCATTTTTGTGAAATGTCTATGATAGAATCATTAATCAAATTAGTTTGAAAAACTTGTCATGACATAACCAATTTACAGTTTAATCTACAATATTTGAAACAATAATAGAGAGATATTCTACACACAACCTAAATAATGTTTAAGTTAATTTTTATTATTGAATCTTTTTCATGTTTCGAGCAAACCATATTATACTAAATATCAAGCCAATTTAAAAGGTTAAAATTGTTCAAATAATTGCTGGAAATATGTGCTTTGGGAATTATTATTAATACTTAATATTTACCACTTACCATGTAGAATTTGGCATATGTCTTGTACTTTTATGTTATTTTCATCATTTTTTGTTGTAAATTTACTTTTCAGCAATCAGCAAAAGGTCATAAGTTCTAGTTCAACATTTAGTTCTTTTAAATATGAATAGAATGTAAAATTTTATCTTTGTTCAAATTCTATTTCTGTGAATCCATAGATTATGTTTTCTACTGCTTTTTACTTGTTTCACACCTAAAAACAGAAAGTATTAAAAATTGATAAGTTGTTCATACAATGTTCTTCTTTTGTAGTTAATTATAACTGTAAAGCTTATTCTTATAATTTAATAAGTTACAAAAACTTCAGAGGTTGGATGTAACTGCTGGTAACTTAGTTTAAATAGAAAAATAAACTATTACAGATATCTTTATTTTTATTAAATCACACATTGTTGATGTTATTCATAATTTTATTATAAACAAACCTAAAGATGTGTACTTTTTAATAATAAATTTCGGTCAATTTGTCATTGGAAAGTGAGTCACACTCCCATTTTAAAGTCCAACCCAAACACAACAATAAACAAAGTCTTTTAACATTTGAATAATAATATTATTTGGAACAACTTTACAACAGCGAATCAAACCAAGTTTTCATAAAATCAATTTTAAACTTTAGGAAATGATCATCATGAGTATTATTGCTATGAAGATTGCTGAAGATGAATATATTGCTATGAAGATTTTTTTTCGGGGTCTTAATTTATTTCATTAAGATATTAAAATTGTTTCATATGTTTTCAGTTTTGTAACAGGTATGCTGACACTCACAATTTTTATAAAATCACATGTTATAATAGAAAATATTTTCGCTTTTTCGATGTTTTTTTATGGTATTAAAAATGTTCCAAACCTAACCTTTTCAGTTTGCTTTTGGTGTTTTATTACATGTTATAAACCTAGCTTTACTTATCCTGCGCTTTTCTATTGTTCCAAACTTAACTTACCCTATGTAGTTTTCTTGGTTTTTTTTTCAACTTAAGTTACGAATCCAAAAAAAAAACTTCCAAAACAGTGTAAGAATATTCCCTATCGTTTAAGACATATGTAATGGAAATTTGGCTTGATTCGGTTTTATAAAGCATTACCTTTTATGTTATTTAGAACTTCTATACAATTTCAAAGCGAACTTTCATTTCATTGACTTTTACTAAGTAATTACGAATATAAAAACATTTAGCAAGATTTTAACGTAAATATGGAATAAGATTTATTTACGTACATAAAATATCAAGTATAGTCATTGATACTTTATTTGATATGTAGTGAGATAGAATAATAGTCAAAACAACAAAAAATACAAAATATAATACTAAAAAACACAATGTAATTACCACATGGTTCTTGGAAATCTTCTCAGAAGAAAACATCAGCTTTCTAACTCTCAAAATTATAATACACTTAATCCCACAATTCACACTGAAACTACAATATTCTTACCAAATAAGGTTAGATTTTAAATATAATAATATCATAAAAAATTTCGTTTGTTATATGAGAGAATGAAAGTTTAATGGCGGACGGCGGAGGACATCGTTGTCGGGTGAAGGGGGGGGTGTTTTCATGATGAATACAAATAAATTGTAAATTTTAAATTACATACTTCAAATAACTTAATTAAATTGTTGTTTATTTATTATCTAAACTTTAAATATAAAGAAATTATAAATTTTTAAATCACAATTTATTCATATGCACTATGGTTTTTTTTTTTTAAACAGCCCAAAAATTATAGAGAAACTTATGAGTGGGATAGACACAATTTTCAAGATGGAGGATCTCCGTTTGCGTTCAATTTGTACCATAGACTAATAGAGTTTCGCGTACCTGAAGAAGACGAAAATGAAATGAACGACAAAGACAAAGATGACAAAACATCAACCATAGACGAAAAGTATTAAAACGTCACGAAAGGCATCTTTCCTTCTTTCTCTATCGAGGCACATTATCGTTTTTTAATTTTTTATCCATGGTTCTTCATATTTTTAACTTCGATTACTCTTTAATTTGTAATCATAAAAGTTTACTTTCAGTCGTTTTATATAGACATAGGTATTAATATTAGAATTATTTTATTACAGTATAAGAAATATAAATAAAAACATTTAGATCAAAGCCAGGGATTACATTATTACATACTCGCTCAAAAAGATTGGGTCAAGAGGTCAAAGCCTTAATCCTAAGCAAGTTTAAAAAAATCAGTGAAATATATTTAATCATTTTTGACGGACAATGTGTCTTACTGTGGACACTAAAAATTTTTAGCTTTATGTATTTTCATTACAACATCTAAATTTCAGTTTTATTTTTAGTAAATTAAATGTAAAAGGAAACTTACTAAAATGAAGGCGAATATTCCAGGTAATATTATAGATCCCTTGGGAGATAAGGCTCCTCGATTTTCAGAGCAACATCTAAATGAGATTTTGGAATGGTTTGAAGAAAAATCACAGCCCGTAAGTGTGCCGGATATCGATGAACCGTTAAAATTTGTAAATGTCGACCAACTGATGCAGTTTTTAGAAGAAAGGAGGTAAAAATGTTGACTTTGACTAAAATTTCCCCTTATATAGGCTTTTCTATCTATAAGTAAAAGTTCACAAAAAATAAGTTCATTTTAGATTTCACAAAAGAGGCTTTTACTACCCAACTTTTGGAGAAGTTATATCAGAAGCTGAAACATTTAATGCAGGAACAACACGAATATTCACAAAAGAACAAATTTTGTATATGTTAGATAAATGGGTCATTGAAGCTAAGATTAAACATGAATTAAAATTGGCATTTAAAGTATGTGAATGACACTTTCAGTTTAGCATTTACTTAACTTATTACCAAATCCTAACTTCAAGTAGTGAATAATTTTCCTAAAAAGGTGAAACACTTCAAATCAGGTCCAAAGAGTAAATGAATATGTTCCTATAACAATACTTCCTTTAATTAATGTTTAATTAGGTATTTGATAGCGAGAATCGGTCTTTTTTGGACATTGATGAAATTCGAGTAATCGCTACAAGTGTTGGTGAACCCTTTGATGAAGATGAAACGATAGAACTTTTGCGTGACGCTAACGTAAGAGGAGATGGAAACGTTTATTATGAAGATTTTGTGGAATCTTTGTTTAGTCTTGCTCCTGAATTGTATAACATAAAGGTATATGTCTCAATTACCGCAAAATAATGAATTTTGTATTTTCGCAACCACTTATTTTCATAACTATGCGACTGAATTATGATGAAATGTTTCTATTCTCTCAAAATTAGATAGATGTCTATAAACCATATGAATGCTTTAAATGCGATAGCTTTTAGACTTGGATAAACTGACTTTTCGTTTTAGGCTGAGTATTTATTTGAAGACCCAGAAGGAGACCCTTCTCAAATAGAATCAGATTTAGAAGTTCCAGCACCAGCACAGACTAAAGAGAAAAAATAAAAATGAATGTAATAAAAAAAATACTAATTTTTTTTTTCGTTTTTGGTTTAAATAAACTCAAAAAACAACAAAATGTATGTTGTTACATGTGTTAAAATAATGTTTTTTACACTCCATAACACCGAACTCAGAAGTAACGTCATATTCATGAGCAATCGGCAAACCTTCTGCTCACGAGTAAAATGTACCGGTTTTCCATTTTTTTTGGACAGACCTGGTTATATCTTATTGAAACTGGCTAAAAAGTTTCACCACCAGGCCATAACATCTACAAAAAAAACTAAGAAATGAAATCAAATTGTCAAAATGACGTAAGATTCAAATTTCAATCAACAAAGCAATTAAACAAACAAATATTTAATTAATGGGATAAACTAGTACTTCTTATTATTAATTCATTATTTTAGTACTTCTAATGTTTATTTTATATAATTAATATTCTGTAAGGTTCTTAATTTCGCTCATAATTATTGTCTACACGCGTTCGTCTTAATTTCCTAGGATTAAAAATGTCTAACATTTTCCTTTAATTATGTTTACAACATAAGGAGTCATTTACGTATAACATACGACAGTAACATGTTCGAATCTGATGATTTCGATCAGGTATGTATGGTTGTCATGGTGTATTTAATTTTATCAAGACATATCTATTCTAAGTGCCATTAATTACAGGTTTTGTCTCAATTGGATATTCCGGACATACCTAACAATACGAGTACAACCAACTGTTCTAACCTCCGAAATAATGGCAAATTAAAAAATAATCCCACTGAAATAATTAGCAAAGACAATGCAATACTAGGATCAAATTATGAAGATAATAAAACTATAAATAGCAAAGGGACAGAACAGACAGAATCTGATGATAACTGCATACAAAATAATAATAATTTACTATCACCTAAGCACTGCAAAAGAAAAATTATTAATTCACATTTTGACTCAAACTGCAAAAGAAAGTTCCCCGGCCCTGCAGGCTTATTGTCTGGAAGTTTTAAGGAATATAAAGATGAGAATATTGATCATATTGAATTACTTTCACAGGTAAGTTACTGTTAAAATGTTATCAATATGGTATTAGACAAAGCAAGTTATGAATATTTAAAATTCTTAGGAATCCAAACATACATGTGGACATTATTTAAATGCTCTATAAATTAAGACAATTGCATTTGTAAAATTATGAATTATATCATGAAAATCAAAAAATTGCATGCAACATGTAAAAAGGTATATGTTTTATTTAATATAAGGACTTATGACAATAATATTTAACTTCAGGATATAGATTTTTCCCAAAATCCATTGCATAGAGATTTATTTGATTCATCACTTTGGAAAAGATTGTTAAAAGATGTAAATGAATGGAAATTAAATTCTGTGGAGACGATAAAAACAATTAAACAGTTTGCACTCACTGGAAACCTGAAAAGAAGAAAAGCGCAAATAGTTACTGCATTTGTAGAGTGTGTGGACAGATCTGCTATGGATCCCTTAGTTACCTTAAGAGATGTAACTGGTATGTTATACATATATTTATGAATGATTTAAAACTACTATGAACATTAACCATGGGTTTCTGAGATCAAAATTCTGTTTAAAACATATTGTTATCCCAATTGTCAAAAATGATGAAAGTAATGACAATATTTTTTATGCAGAGATTATGACCTCAGAAGCCCACGGTTTTGCTACTGATTTACTTTGACTTAGCATAAAAATGTTATTCTAAAAAATTTACTAATTCATAAAATTAAATTATTACTGTTACAGCATAACTTTTTTTACACATAAAAACTCTTTTATGTAACCTCCTTTTTATCTTTCAGGAAATATAAAATGTACACTACACAGAGATGCTTGGTCATATTTTTCATTGTACATTGTGCCAGGGCACTCGGCTCTTGTTTTATCTAAGCCTACAATTTTAACAACAGGAGGTGCATTTAAAAAGCATTACTTGAACATAACTATGAGCAATATATTGGCTATATACAGTTCTGTACATGACAAAGATGAACAGATGCCTGATGGTTATCAAAAGATCTCTAATGAAGACTGCACTATTATTAAGATGGAAAAGCAAGTCTCAGGTTTGTTACATTTCAATATTTTTGAATTATCTTGCAGAAATAATCTTACTGCATTGGTTATAGTTCCTACGTAAAAAATTGTATGTTTGAAATGTATATTTTTGCTAACCAAAACTTTAAATTACACTAAATTATGCATCAAACATGAACATACAATAGACAACCTAAATCAGTTGTCTTTCTAAATAGTCATTTCAAATGTACACAGAAATAACTATTTATCAAGTTTAAAAATTTTATAAATAATAAAACATGGATATAAACACAAATTTTTGGGTTAAGATGGTCTATTTAGGAGCCATGTTATGTTAAATAAAAACAGTAGCATTGAATGTGTTTTCAATCTTACTAATTTTATAAAAGTGATTTTTTTTGAGGGATGTTTGATAGTATCTCCAAAAGGATTAAAGGATCTTAATGAAATTTGGTATACATATAGAACATAGTCGGAAAGAACACATAGGTTACTGATTATGGTTTTTAATATCGTGCGGACGGAGTCGCGGGCGATAACTAGTGGCATTATAATAACTTTGTATAAAAATGAACTGAATCTTTTAAACTTACAAGACTATTACAAGGACTTAAGATAGAATTTAGTGCAGCAATGTTTGCTGTTCAATTCATAAATCTACATTCAATGAGAATATTTTATGTGTTGTTAGTAAAAGGTATTTTTGTTTCAGATGAAAGCCAAGTAGATAATGATTACAATGACTTGGACAGTATATTTTCAGATGAGATTTTTTAATAAACATGATACTTGTATATACATAAGTTGTAAAATAAAGTATGATTATATTATTCTAGTGTTTGATTTAAGAATCTATAGATATTTCAAACACTCATCTAATGCTTTGTAACTTTGTTTTTTTTTATTAAGTACGCTTTGTTTTTAAGGAGATTGTGCAAAAGAATCAAAATTAAATATGATACAATAAGAATAAAGTTATTTAAAATATAAATATTCTTTGATAGTTGGAATATCTTAACTCTATATTAATTATTAAGTGACTAATTAATTAATCTACCAAAATAATACTATAAACTAAAAATTAACTAATCTTTGATTATAAATGATTGTTTACCATTATCGACAATACACTTATACCAATATTATAAATGCTAATGTTTGAATGTATGGATGGTTGTTTCAAGGTATCTCCAAACGGCTGGCTGAAATTTGGCATAGTTGTAGAACATAGTCTGGGAAACAGAGGCTAATAAGTTTTTATTTTTAATTCCGCGCGGACAGCAAGTGTGCTATAATGATATTGTTAATTGTTTATCTGACTTGCCTTACCTAATTATTATAGTTTTAACTAAGATTCTGTCAACTTAAATAAAACAATGTTGTCACTTTATAAATTTTAATATTGTTCAGACTTTTATATGTTTGTTAACGATATGCTTAACTAGTGTTTGTTGATGATTGAAAGTGCACGGGCACATTTTGCATTTATGAATACCTTGAACGTTCCCAGCTTGGGTCATATTTTGCGAACTGTCCTTCGAATCATTTATTGTCTCCGAGTTGTAATGTGTTTTCAAATGCTTCAAACAGTTGTGCAACTTTATGAATTTCATCTGGAATAGATATATATTTTTTTAATTTATATTGTAGTTAGAAGTTCCGAATAATATGTTTAACTGCCTTTTTTCTTTTAAAAATTTTTCGATATTTTAACAGCAAAAATAAATGCAATCTTACTTATTACTAATATTACAAATGCGAAAGTTTGGATGGATGGGTGTTTGTTAGAAGGTATCTCCAGATTGGTTCAATGGATATTGTTGAAACTTGGTACAGATGTAGAACATAGCCCAATATATTTTTTTTATTTATGTGCAGACGGAACTCCGTGCTCAAAAATCTGGATACTCACTTTACATTGATTACAATGATATATTTTATCTTTTCCATTTTCAACGACAGTGGTGTACCCAGCAACCATCTTGTCTAAATCTATTGAGAGATCTCCCTCCACATCCAAATTTTGGCAGCACGATGTCTGAAAAAATTTAGAAAATTATTGTTTTTAATTTCAATAATAAGTTAACTTAGTATTGTTAACTGCTTTGTATTTGTCAAGGATGTAAAAGCCTTATATTTAGCGAAAATAATTAATTTGTGTCATTTTCTCTAGTGGAAACAGACTTTTATAATTACCTGTTGATGTTGTTTCAACTCGTCTTCAGTATTGAATATCTCGGCGCAGTTGCGACAAGCGAACACTTTACCGGCAAGTTTCCTTCTATTGTCGTCAAATGTCTCCTTAGTCGGTAGTTCTATAGATACAATTTGTAACATTCAAATATACATTTTGCCTTTAAAGGGTTAAATTGTATAATATAATACAGGTGTTTGTGTTATATTTCTTAATTTACAACAGTTTTATGATCTTTTTCTGTAAGCGATTCCTTGCGTACGGCCGCCATTTTGTATAGCAGTCAGTAATGATATGACGTCATTTTTTTTACACGGAGTCTCGGCTCAGAGATCACTTGACTTATAATGAGCAGTTACTGGGTTCGAATCCCTCCATGTACCAATGTATTTTTCGATATAAAATGTACTTTTATCCTACGTTCTTACGGTGAAAGAAAACATTGAAATGCAACCTACACATATCTGAGAAGAAATTCAAAGATGACTAGCAGACGTGGTTAATTATGACCTAGTCAACCCTAACTTGGGGTAGGCTCCGATGGGGACGTATAATGAACTGATGATGATATCATATGAAGTTATAAAGACATAAGTAAAAAAACTTACTCCGTGTATTTAATGTAATAGAAACTCGTAGTACATTGTCGGCTCGTTTCATTTCAGTAACGTGTACATGTAAAACATAATTTTCTTCCAAATTAACATCTGATATGTCTTCTTTTTTGAGTTCCGTCTTATAATCTTCTGTGAAAACCAAAATATATAATAACTTACGATATCTCAAGTGATGGTCGCGCGTCAGTTCTATACAATATAACCCCCCAGACCATATAAGTTTGTGACATAAATAATTGCAGTATTGTTGTGCATTACGTGTGGCATGTATCTAGCAGAGAGCATGCATACCTGTTTTATTCATAATATTGTCCAGCATATCAGGCACATGCACGAAGCAATGGCGGCCGGAGTCAATAGTGACGCGGCCTGTCACCAGTGTTGGTTGCCCGCCGCTGCTGGACGCGCCTTTCTCATCCTGCATTGATACAACCTGAGACAATTGACATATTAATACGTTCAAAATCGATTTTAATATATTAAAATGCATGGTAGCAAAACATTGAAGGTGTTCAATTAGCAGAACCGTCGCAGTTTGCATTAAGAAGGATATCTATCCCAATTAAGCTATTGAGGTTAATACTGGCAGAAAATATATAAAACCTATATGTTCATAGAAAATGCCATAAAATAAAAAACATAACATGACAGCTACAGTACGAAAAGGACCTTGTTGACTGACAGGAGGGCGCTAGTGAGCTATTGTAATTTAGTTTCACTTCTGCCCAGAATATATATCTTTGTCAGTTTATATATCAAAATAAATTTTCTCATAAAAAATATTTTTTAACTTTAGTGCGACACCAATTTCATGAAAAACGCATAGCGAAGTAACCTTACCTTTGTGATAATAAGATTCCTATCGAGCACTGACGTCTTGAAGTCAGGTATCTTGAGGAGCTGCATGACCGTGGTGTGTGCGGAGGAGATGTCCTGCGCGCTGCACCTCACCTCCGCGCTCTGCTGCGCCGCCTGCCTCACCAGCTTCGCGAATACTTCCTCATCCATGTTCATACTGTCTGTCAACATTTATGCCCATGAAATATCTATTTGCAGACGTAAAACTGTCACACTCGGAGATTCGAAAAATTTTAAAATATACATACAATCTAACTTCGAAATACTAAAATCAAACACTATAGATCCATATAGATAACTCAAACACTATTACAGTAGGTTTCTGAAACCAAAATTCTCGTTTAAAACAAATATAAATAACACGTACTTAATTTCTTTTCTTTGATATTATCACTGCTATTAACTTTATTCCGCAAAACTCTCTTTATACATCGAGGTGAGTATTTTTTTATTGGCATATCAATACTGTTCATTTTTGTGATTTTTGCGTACAATTTCTTTCCACTTTTAGTCTCTCCTAAGGCTATTTTGTCTGGAATATCTGGAATAAATGAAAGAAATCATTGTTAAATCGGTTAGAAGTCTCATGCTATTAACTTACGAATTCAAATTTTTCATAATTAAAAACAGTTTGTGTTGTAAATTCCAATAAACTATCTTCCTTCTCTGCTATCTCTCACAACACGCACACACACAAATAAATCGAATATAAGCTTTATTTTTGATTAGTCTGTGATTAAATTCGTTTAAAAACACGTATACCTTTAAATGCTATGTTGGTACTAACTCTAAACATAACATTTCTTGTTTTTGATTTTTTCAAAACATTCTTTGGTTTTATATCGACATTTTCGTTATCAACATTTTGCGTTTGCTGAATAATATTCTGTTCTTGCATTGTATTGATCATACTTTGTGTTATGTATTTATAAGTTTTTGGATCAGCCATTTCGATTTTTATTGTATTGTCGTCTTCATTTGTTGTATCCATACTTGAGATTTCCATTGATTCGACTAAAATAAAAGCAATTTTATAAGTCTAAACGTTGGTTTCTAAGACCTAAATATTTGTATAAAATATATCGTCATCACTTTGTTTATCATTGACATATCAGAGAAAACAATATATTTTAAACGGGGATTTTGGTCTCAGAAACCCATAATAAATCTGATACTGAAACAATTTCAAATATGATAGTAATAAAATTCAATTTAATTTATTACATGTTATATTTAGCAATGTGAAGTTAATAATTTTAGTATTTTTAGACATTATCAGTTACAATCCTTGGGCGCCAATGGCGCACTTTCGTTACAAAGTCAAGTGTCAGATTGATTAGTGAGGGGACATAACCGACAACATTTTAGTAAGGCTAGTGTTGCACCGATACACAGGCACAGTGTCGGATTTTCTTCCAACAGAACATAGTACCTGGATGACCGATGATGGAGCTTTGCTCGGTATTTTTTTTTAATTGTGTTTTTTGGAAATTATATTTACATAAGTACGAATTACTAATAAAATTATGAAATATGAATAATATCTTCGATCTTACCGATAGAAAAAGTTAAGTTTATGTAAGTTGATTATCGATAAAACACGAATAAAATAACATTTTCTAAAAATGATTCCTAGCTAGAACGATTTATCGCCCCCGAAGCCCCCTATATGCTAAATTTTATGAAAATCGTTGGAGCCGATTCCGAGATTCCAATTATATATATACAAGAATTGCTCATTTAAAGATATAAGATATAAAATTACTATTTATATATTTATAATTATCAGAGTGTAACACTGTCTAACAAAATGTAGTATATTATTATGACTATAAATAAGTTTAAGATATAAAATACATACCATATTGATCATCAAGATTTGGATTCATTAAGAAAAAGTCATTGTCCTCGATAATGTCGTCCGATAATTTTACACCATCTTCTCCTATATTTAGACGTATGTTACCTTGTTGGCTTGACAAGCTATTTGGACAAAAATTTCTAATTTTATTTGTAACTAATCGGTCGATCGGGACATTGTCACCGAGGAATTAAAAAAAAAAAGAAATTAGCCGATAATATGCTTGCAACCTGATGATTTAATTTAGTCGATCTTCCCGTCAAAGTCCTGCCTTTTTATTATTTTTTTAACTTACCTTGTCTCTTCTTGAATGCATTCATTACTTCCTTCTGTAGATTTTAACTTTTGAATTAATGCTGAAACAAGTATAAAATTTAATTTTACTAAGCACCTTAAACATATAATTTTATATAATCTGGCTCGAAGGACCATCGAATCTTGAACAAGAAAATTGCACGAATAAAATAATTATTACTTAGGAGACATTCCTCATACAAAATCTATACTAAGGGGACATGACAGCGTTAAGTAAGCATTTTTTTATGAACTAATTTGTTATAATCTTAATATTAGATAGATATATGAATGTTTGTTAACATATACTCCTAAAAAGGCTACATGGATATGGATAAAATATTGTACAATGATAGATTACTGGAATATCACATAGGCTACTTAATAAGTTGTCTTTTTAAATTACGAGCAGACAAGTTTAAGGCAAAAGCTATCTATATAAACTTACTACCATTTGTTGTTACATCATGTAGTCCCAATGTGTCAAGGACATATACTTTGTCATTTGTTTCTAGAAGAATCCATCCTTTTTGTTCTAATGTATGAAATTGTTCATCATTCAATGTTATCTGAAATGATATACAAAAAGCAATAATCCTTCTATCTTACTAATTTTATAAATGCGAATGTTTGTTTCAAGGTATTTCCAGAACGGCTGCATGGATCGTATTGAAATTTGGCATAGACATAGAAGATAGTCTGGAAAACACATAGGCTACTAATTAAGGTTTTTGTTAACTCCGCGCAGACATAGCGAGTACTACAGCTGGTACAAAAATAAATAAAGCTTAAATTCCAAAATGGACATGGTAATATAATTTTTCCGCAGTAACTTTTTAAAATTAGCTATTGCGTTTTCCAACAAAATCCAGTCTATTTATAAGGATTAAAATGAAAGTTTTGTATTTTTACCTCTGTGCAATTATCTGTTGTTTTTTCCATTTCATTATTGACTTCTGCAATAATTTGTTTTTCTGGTTCGTGATATTGTATAACTTCATTTTGCTGTACTATCTGAAAATAAAAGTATAAGCATTTACAACTAATCATGTATAGTCAAACCTGATGCGAAATTCAAAGGAACTGGCAAATTTTTATTTTGCTTATAGAGGGTTTTCTCTAACCAGAGTTTCTCGCTTACGGAGGTTGTCCATTAGCTAATTGTCTTTTGGAACTTTCTTACTTATCAAGGTTCAACTGTAGAATTATCTGCATACAATATAGTGCACCAAATTTAGTACCACATACTATAATGTCAAAATGTACCACAATTTCCTTGACAATGTCACTTTCTTTTTGGGGTATATAACCAACATCTTCAATTTAAAGAAGATTTATTTTATTTTGTGTGCTACTTACTTGTGGAAAAAAACTTAACGAGTAGCCTATGTTTTCTACCAAGCTATGTTCTACATTGGTGTCAAATTTTATCAAGATCCGTTAAGCTGTTCCAGAGATACTTTCAAACAAACATCCATCCATCCAGCCATACCTCCAGCCATATAAATATTCGCATTTATAATATTGTTAAGATTTCTTAAAACCTACTATTGAAAATTTATTATTTTATTAGTTTTGACTTTTACCTGCTCCTCAACAGTATTCTGCGCTGGTAAAAGATAATTGTTGGCAATAATAATATTTTGACCATTTGGTAAAATAAACTGATCTGTAAACATACAAAATAATGATATTAAAAACATCTCACTAAATTTTTTTAGTAGATTTTGAGAGGTTAAATAAGTATACAGAGTATAAATACATACCAGGCATAGAAATAACTTCAGATGAGTTATTAACATCTATTAAGAATTGTGGAGATGAAACATCATACACCGCACAAGGCTGAACATGACTGACAATTTCTTTGACATCTTGTCCGTGTGTCATGTACTGTACTTGACTATTATTTACTGTAATAATATAAAACTTGTATTAGCAGACAATCAAAATCACTCTATTTTACAACCATTTGTATCTGATAAGATTACTTAATTCATATAAAGTAAGTACTAAGTTACGACAAAAATAGAATTTTGTATTATTTCTTTGCATTGTGTTTGCTATTTAAGAATTCTTTGATTCTGAGTGCACGGTGCATGAATTACTGTTGAATAATGTATACTTACAGCTTAAGAAACTACCATCATCTTGTACTAAAAAAAATTGATTGTCTTCATTTCCATCTGGAAGGTACTGATATGTTTGATAGGGGCCTTCATCCATCATTATATCAGATTTTCATTTGATATGGATCAATTGGGGATGTAACGCACATTAAAAGTTGTCTCCCCAAAATGAAACACGAACGTATTTTTAGTTTAAACTACTTTAAGAAGTAATTAATTTAATGTTAGGTACTTTTGATAAATTTATGAATATAAAAGGTTTTAAAGGTTTTATTTATTATTTTATATGCCCTTACATTCCCTTGTTTACGACTAAGAAAATGACATTGACATCTGACAATTTAATACAGCTGTTGTGATTTGTTTTTTTTTCTGAAGTGATAAGATCTATGAGGTTTGTGCCAGAGTTTTAAATACAGCATTTTTTAAAGATATTTAGAGCATAGAAATACTTTCAGTCCACTACATATTTCCGAAAGCATGGAAGTAATAAAGTAATGTTTTGCAAATTAAGGTAGGTAGTTGATAAATATTTTATTAAATCGCCACGAAAATACATGTTAAGGTATTGTAAAATCAAAAACATAGTTTATATTTGAAAATGCTTCGCAATGACAAGTATTTGAAAAAGCACGAACATAATCACAAAGTTGTACGGGTTCATATGAGGGTGATTTTAATCTTCCAATAGCTGTTAATTGTATTATGTGATTTAACATAGTACTTCTATCAATACTAGTAGCGTTAGCATTCCAATCGCATAATCGGAATCTGTGAAATGATACATCACAGCGCCAAGCTTGTTTTAACATTGGTAGATCATATGCGCAACCATAATAAATTATTGTCCCAAATCTATCCAATATATTTAACAAAACATCTTCGTATCTACCACCCAAGCAATTTAACGCTAAGACGGGACGAGTTACTGATGTATCAAAGGTCGTCAACTCTTCAGCTTCTTCCAATGTGTACACAGCTGTCGCGCCGAGATTTAATAAATGCTGTTTCATCTCCTTATACCCACAACGATTAGCAACGATGTTAATTGTATTAATGCCAAAAATTTTACACAGCTGTATAATGTACTGTCCGCAAGGACTATTAGCAGCATTTTGAATAATCGTTTCTCCTGGTATTATGTGTCGAAAATCCTTAATCATTCTGTAAGCTTCACAAGGAGCAAACGTTATCATTGAAGCTTCAGGTAATGGTATCAGTGGTGATATAATGTGCATATCTCTTTCATGAAATGTTCCATAATATCTCCATGTCCCCAGAAACCTGGATGTTACGACAACTCTACGTCCTGGCTTCACAGCACAAACATTTCTACCAATCTCAACAACTTCGCCCACTCCTTCATCTCCAGGAACATGGGGTAACGAAGGTAGACAACATCCCTTACCTGAAATAAAATAAAAAAAACAATTGCAAGAAAAAATATATAATTGAGAAATATATAAAAGATCATTCACATGATTTGTATGGTCACATGATAAGATAAGATGACTGGACAGTTTATCTATAAGACTTATTCCAAAATATTTGGTACAATGCGCTATAATAATGAAAAAAAAAAAAACTTTTTTAAACACTTTATTCCATAAATGCAATTACAATGTGTTTTATTTATTTATTATAAGTCTATAATTATGATAATAACAAATAATATAATCTAACTAAAATCTAAGATATATTTACAACCAGTGAAGCCTTGTGGTGAAAGAGCATTTCCGATAGCTTCTTGATATTCTTCTATTTTTACCATTTTATGAATAGGACCTTTGATATTATCACAAGTCATCATTGATATGATATCATTCATCATATTATTTTTTTCAACTGGAGTTGCTTTTTCATTCCATGCAGTCATCCAAAAACCGTAGAAAGACAAATTCTTAAAAATAAGAGCGGAAGTAGGAATACTAACTGGTTCCCTTGACATTCCACCATATGTCACCATTTTACCTGAAGGTTGCAAATGTCTCAACATTTCGAGTGAACTTTTACCTCCAACACAATTAAGAGCTAAGGATGGTTTTTCAATCAATTTCTCCTTGAATATATTTGTAGATCGTAATTCTTCTTCTGTGAGCACATAAGTAGCTCCCAGGCATTTCAAATAATTTTTTAAATCATCTATTTCAGGCCTATTTCTGACTATGTTTATGTTCTTCACACCCCAGGCTTTACAAATTTGTATGACATTTTGTCCACAGGCACTGTTTGCTCCGTTTTGTATCACCACAAGACCATCTTTGACGGGTTGAAAATCTGTTAACATTCTATAAGCTGTACATGGGTTTACTGTTAGTGTTGCAGCTTCAACTATCCCTAATTGATCAGGAACAACTTTCAAAACATTCTCCTTAAATAAAGCAATATCCCTCCAAGTTCCTTGAACTGGTTTTGTGAGAATTACTTTATTACCAACACTTATTTCTCTAACATCTTTACCAACCTCCTTTACAATTCCTACACCTTCATTACCAGGAATACTCGGAAGATTCACCTTCACAGGATATTTTCCTGTAAAGAAATAATATGAAATTAATATCAAACACATTTATTGTAGTTAATGGCAAGCAACATATAGCAAAAATACCTTGTAAGCATCAAATCCATGTTATCTTCAAATAGACTAAAAAAAATTGTGACACATGCAAGGAAAACGGCTTGAGAAAATAAATGAATACCTTGAATGGTGTTAATATCAGCGGGATTTATCGGTGCGGCTAACATGCGCACCAATACATCTTGAGGTCCAAGAGGCGGCACTTGACATTCTTTGAACTTTACTACTTTTAATGGATCTCCAAATTCATTATAAACAAGCTGTTTAGACATCAAATTTCTAATATTCACCAAATTTACAAAAGGTTTATTAAATACTTTGGCGGATGATAACATATTCTTGGTCAAAGGCAAAAGAACCATTTTTATTAGTTTATATAAACTTGAATTAACTGATGGTTCGATTTATTTTTCCAACCAACAAGATATTTTTGGCGTTGTATGCGATGTCAACTATAGAAATTTTATTTATTTGGTCTTTTCATTTTACATAATAAATTTAGTTGTTGATAAACTTTTATTTGGAGAAAATTTTATTGACATTTAACATTGAAGATGACAGTAAAAAGTGCTGCCAGTTCAATCAATGACAGGATTTTCAGTTTTTCTTTCCTATATAAAGTGATCTTTTTCTTGAATTTGGACTAAAATATTATAAGAAAAAAAAGATTAACTTTATCCTATATGTTTAAAAATGTTGCTCGTGCAAGGCTCGTGCTCCAGACCCAGCATTATTGTAGACATTTTTTTATTTCTACCTAGTTTCCTTCTCAAGATTAACCAAGTCGGGATTATTAGATTTAATTTGTAACTTCACAGTTATATAATAACTCAAATAAGTACAGTTATTTACAGTACCGAAATCCTATATCACTATGAACCTCAATATCTTATTATCTCTGAAGGAATAAAAACTAATAATGAAACACATCTGATAATTTATTATCATAAGAAAAGTTTATTCGTGATTATTTGATAAAAACTTTTTTAGTCGTTGTTCTACATTAATTCTACTGCGGGTTACATTAGAGTTAGATAATTTTTTTTCTTCGATGGGCAAAAGGGATTTGGGTATTCGAATTCGACGAGCTCGAACCAATTGCCAGGATCCACTTGAATTGCGGAAAGAACCGCGAGATGAATTTAGTTCTCTAATTTCCGAAGACAACGGCCGCGGAGCACTAAAAAAGAAAATAACATTGATTATCAGTTCCTTTTGAAACAATTTATTGAAGACGATGAATAAAGCAGTGCGATTTTTGTTGTACTAACTATTCTCGGATGATTCTTAGCCGTGCTGGAGCCACCACTGACGGTAATAAAATAGACGAATTTCGTTTCAATCCTATTATAAGAGAAAAAGTTAAATATTACAATGACAAATTAAATAACTTGATATAATAAAAAAATGTGTATGTTCGTTATGCATTACGATAATATCACAGTGTTGTGTATTTTTATTATCTTTTATTTTACTTATTGTTTATTCGTTCAAGTAGATTATTCGTTTCCTAAGATTAAAGCAGTGTTCCATTTATATATGTTTAATATTACCAGAGTATTTAATGTTTTTCAAAAAGCTTTTATCTTTCCACTTCTGTGAGCAAACGGGGCAGACTGAGCGGCGTATAGACCACTTTGGAAGCTCAACAGGATGGATAGAGGGTTTTTTTTCGAATGCCGGTAAACCTGGTTGTGGTTCCTAGAAAAATTAATACAAAAAAATGCGTAACGTTTTTGAATCTGCAGTTTGAAACTATCAAATTTAAACAATTCTATCTTATTAATTTCATAAATGCGAAAGTTTAGATGGAGGGATGGATGTTTGTAAGAAGGTATGTCTAATAAGGCTGTATGGATCTAGCTGACATTTGGCATAGGTATAGGGTAAAATCTGGATGAACACATAGGTTACTAAGTTTTTTTTAATTCCGCGAGGATGGCATTGCGGGCGACAGCTATTCCTAACACAATTACTTGACTGCGCATTGGCAACTGACAACTGTGACCGTTTTAATTACCGTTTAAGTACCGACCGCTAGTTGTGTTTTTTTTATAAGAGTAAGCGGAACCCGGGGGAACACGGAGTTGCTTACTTCCCTCTACTATAAATATTGGTTGTAGTGCTGACCGGTGCAGATATATTGGCGGTATGTGCGAGTATCGAAGGGATGTCCATATCTCGTCGTGTCGATACTCTGGAGAATCTCGAACGTGATACGCTACGATCCGTCATACGTATGCTCAGGCCGTGATTACAAGGTTCGTTTGTTTCACTGAAAATAAGATACAATGAAGTACTAACCGTGACTAGTGAAACATTGTTATCTCTGAGTTAAGGAGGGATGAGGAATATAGTTTAACACAAGTATCTCAACAGTGGAAACGCATAGTCAAGTAAGTTTGTAAATAAGTACTACTAGTTGTTGAGAACATGACATTTCGATACTCTTTTGTTGCCTTAAAGTTTTTGAAAATGAATATTTTAAGAAAATTAAGGAGAAATAACAATACGATGAATAATAAGTTGCAGAAAACGTGTCAACTTTAAGTGTATTTAATAAGGATAAAATACAAGGTTATATTGTGTTGCAATTATGAATGCGTACGCGTACTTTGTTAAAATCTTACTCAATGAATTAATTTACACATTGTTTATTATTGTTGTTAAGTTGACGTTAATATAAAGTGCGATTCAAGTAAAATATAATATTGAGAGAAATATACGTAAATTTATCAGAAATTATAAGTAATGACCGC